AGCATCCTTTCATGTGTCTGTTGGCCATCTGAATTTCTTCTTTGGAGAACTGTCTGTTCAGCTCCTCTGCCCATTTTTTTATTGGATTATTTGCTTTTTGTTTGTTGAGGTGCGTGAACTCTTTATATATTTTGGATGTCAACCCTTTATCAGATCTGTCATTTATGAATATATTCTCCCATACTGTAGGGTAGCTTTTTGTTCTATTGGTGGTATCCTTTGCTATACAGAAGCTTTTCAGATAAACTAATTGCTTTTTTTAAAAAAGTTTTTGCTAAAAACTAAGGAGGTGATATCTGACATATTCACATCAAATATTATCTTTGACAGATGTTCTAACATAGATTTCTTTTCATTTTCTCAGATTAGTAAGCAAGAACATCTTTACACAGTACTTAAGTATTAAGCACTGTAGAGAAAATGAAAGTTCCTATGGCTAGGATTCTCACCTGACCCTGGTCGGCTTGCTCACTGCACACATGTGGGCAATACATTATTATAGATTCTATATAAACAGCTCTGCCTAGTGTTCTGGGCTGCTGCAGGGCTGCAGGACAGCAGAGGCTGGAGTGGTGGCAGCACCGAGGACAGAGACTGAGACAGCTGCAGGGCAGAGAGGCCCAGAGGCAGAGACTGGCTTGCTGCAGGCAGACTCGCTCTGAATGGATGGGATTCTAGCACTAAACCTGCCACCATGGGAATGAAGTTGGGTATAAACCCTTTCACCCCAAGAACATCCCATTGTCACTTTTCAGTCTCACTGAATCAAGAGTGAACTTGCCCAGGGCTGAAAGCCATTGACAAGACAAGCACCATAGTAAATGTTTTCATAATTTATTATTTAACCACTTAATTTTTCAGGTTAGCTAAAGAAAATGTAAGCATATTGTAGGGAAGCCCCCCACTTCACCCCAGATATGTCTGGCCTTGAGAAACTTGAAAACACAGGGTGTTGTACTCATGGGAAAGGAGATAAATAAGGGCTCTGAAAGCCAGAACCTGGCCGTGAAGGCCACACGCATGCGTGTCTTCAACACTTATGCAACCATGAATTAGTACTGTAGCAGTATAAAAAGTACAGCTGTGTGCAGAATAAGGTGGCCTGTGTGAGCACCCTCCATGACCACTCCCGCTGCCTTCTCTGCTCTTCGCATTGCCCCAAAACCTCAAAGGCAGCCCCCAAACCCCTACACATATCAGATGTACACAGCTAGAAATAGCTACTGAATATCTTATAAAATCTGGTTTGAAAAGAAATATATTTCTGCAAGCTGGTAGAAAATAAAACTCTATTGTTTGTGCTTCCAACTAAATAGAAATCTCCTGATGGCAGTTCATGTAATAACCATTCCACAGGGTCTCAAAGTAGATGATTATATATATATATGGACATCACAGAAAATCTCCCCTATGTGGGAATGAAAACAATGGCACAAAATGCTGGCTGCTGGACACAGTTCCCTGAAGAGCCCACCAGTGGCTCCAAGTGAATTCACCAGGGGTTTATTTTGATTCTAGAATATATTAAAAAGCATCATTTATTAAATATATAGTACATGTTGTATACTAATGAGTGTATTATATATTTAAAGTACTATATATTAGCATATAGAGAATGTATTAAAAAATTCAGAGGGTACTGGGAACAAATGGCAACAACTGTATAATGTAAATAGGAGGAACTATAAATAGTAGGCCTGTTTCTTAAACCACCACCACCACCAATAAACGATTTCTCGCATTTCATTATTCTGGACACGTGAAAGAGTACACTTTGGATTTTAACCATACAAAAGTAGCAAATATTCTTTAGCTATGCACATTTGAGCTTGTTTTACTTTGGGTTAGTTTGGCTGAAATACAAATAGACTAAGTGTTTGGGAGTAAATGGTTCACAGTTAATCAAAGGTATGGCCTTTTCAAAGAAAAGCGTCTTTCCATATAAACTAATGAAAGTTCAACGATCCTGTCACCTGCCCTGACCTGACATCTCTGAGTCAGTTGGATCCACCTGTGGGCCAAAGATGACATTGCTCTTACCCATTGATTGTACTTGGCCTACCCCTTTCCAGGGAAACTAAAAATGCTTAGGTATCTGCCAGAAACATCTATACCTTGGTACGGAATTCTTCCAGTACCACCTTCTACCTACCCATCCTATTGCTCTTCACTCCATGGGTATTTTGATTCTCAGCCCCTGTTGATACCCATTTTTCTCTCCATAGGAAGATGCTCATATTTTATTCTATTAGGCAGGCTCTGAAACTGGCATTCCTGCAGGGTATTACTTTCAGAACCTTCCTGCCCTCTCCTTGCACCCAAACCAAGAGAAAGAGGAAGCAATCCTGAATTTCAGACACAGCACCTGGGGACAATAGCATATAGAGAATGTATTAAAAAATTCAGAGGGTACTGGGAACAAATGGCAACAACTGTATAATGTAAATAGGAGGAACTATAAATAGTAGGCCTGTTTCTTAAACCACCACCACCACCAATAAACGATTTCTCGCATTTCATTATTCTGGACACGTGAAAGAGTACACTTTGGATTTTAACCATACAAAAGTAGCAAATATTCTTTAGCTATGCACATTTGAGCTTGTTTTACTTTGGGTTAGTTTGGCTGAAATACAAATAGACTAAGTGTTTGGGAGTAAATGGTTCACAGTTAATCAAAGGTATGGCCTTTTCAAAGAAAAGCGTCTTTCCATATAAACTAATGAAAGTTCAACGATCCTGTCACCTGCCCTGACCTGACATCTCTGAGTCAGTTGGATCCACCTGTGGGCCAAAGATGACATTGCTCTTACCCATTGATTGTACTTGGCCTACCCCTTTCCAGGGAAACTAAAAATGCTTAGGTATCTGCCAGAAACATCTATACCTTGGTACGGAATTCTTCCAGTACCACCTTCTACCTACCCATCCTATTGCTCTTCACTCCATGGGTATTTTGATTCTCAGCCCCTGTTGATACCCATTTTTCTCTCCATAGGAAGATGCTCATATTTTATTCTATTAGGCAGGCTCTGAAACTGGCATTCCTGCAGGGTATTACTTTCAGAACCTTCCTGCCCTCTCCTTGCACCCAAACCAAGAGAAAGAGGAAGCAATCCTGAATTTCAGACACAGCACCTGGGGACACTCCCCAGTGTCCTAAGGCAGGGAAGGGATGAGACTGTGAGACACCGACAAAAATGAATGCTGCCACCAAACAGACTGGACGCTTCACAGCCAGCCAAACTGTGCCCTGTGCTTCCTGTACCGTGGCCACATCTGCTCAGCTTCTGCCTTTCTGATGTTTGTCTGCCTTTCCTAGTCCCAAACTTATCCCTGAAGCTTGATAGATTCAGTTTCTCTGGATTCGATCTGCAAGATCACAAATACAAGGAAAGACACTCTTCTACCTCAGTAGGCTCCTAAATACTTTAAGAAACACTCCATCAGGCTGTTTTATTTGGATTCCTCTCCTCAGCTCCCACCACACACACACACACACACACACACACACACACAGATCAGGCATAAGACAAGAGCGTTAACAATCTCACCATACTCTGCGTTCATTAGTCCTAGCCTGGAACTCTGTTCAGTTCAAATTTTTATAGGCATATTAACAATCTGGAGAATAATGGAGAGCTCAGTTAAAGGAATTCAAAGAGTTTCACTAGAAAAGTGTTCCTATTCTTCAATTTTTAGAACTCCTTAGTAATTTGACTATTTCAAACAGATTGATTTTAATAATTCTCAATAATTTGATGGCAAGTGCTTGCAGTGGTAGCCTACTTACTGGTATCCAGTTCTCTGTCTTTTTAAAGGGGGAAGGAGTTACTTTAAGCTACACATTTTCTAAAACTAAAAAAAGGGCTATTTTAGAAAAAAAGTGAATATTACATTGAAGATTTCATGGTACTATTGGCTCCCCTCATCTGATCACTTCAGATGGGCTGATAATATTAGATAAAAACCTCTTTATCAGCAATGCATTGGAGTCACCCAGCTACTTTCCATATTCAACAAAACATCTCTTTGCATATATACATGTGTAAAAACAGAACATTCGTACAGAGGACAAAGTGCCATTGAAGGCCAATACAGAGACAGTGAAATTCTTTTATGCCAGGAAAAATAAAATGCTGGGTATCACATGGAATTTCATAACCTGATTTCAAAAGGATTATACAAAGAGGAAATAAAACTTAGCACTGTGAACTGCTGCGCAGGATATATTTGTAAGTATGAGATTCTATAAAATAATTGATTAATACAATAATGTTGACTTAGTATAAATGACTAGTGAATATTTGCTTCAACTGCAGGACTGCTAGCAGTGTCAGTAGCTTTTTCAAAGGAAAATAAATAATCTAGTAAACACGTTTGCCTTGTCTTGGATTTTCATACTTAAAAAAAAAAACTTCCAATCACGCATGCATAAATGAAGCTTGTAAGTTGGTTAGAAAAGGAAATATTATACTTTTAGAGTAGAGTATATAGTCTTTCATTTTATGTTTTTATGTGTACATGTGTGTATGTTTAGGTAAAGACATTGTAAACCCAGATGTTTCAGAATTGCTTGTTTCAAAAATTATGCATTACCAAATGATTAGTTCCATCATTTAATTAGCTGTACTGATTCCAGGTGTGTGTGGATTGTTGTAATATGGAGCATTGTTAATCTCAATTTTACAGAATTTCTTTATCCCTTAATGTTATGCCTAAATACAACAACACATAAACTACTTGCTTTCTAAAAAGCAAGAACTTTGTGTGCTATGGCAAACAAATCTTCACTAAAATGTGAATTACTCTAAGTGTTTCTAAACTTAATGTGACTTGCTATATCACAAAATAAAGAAACACTTAAATGCAGATATTATATACAAAAACAAAGAATTTACCAATTACCTATCAGGATAAATAAAAACATTTAAATATGTGAAAAGGCTCAATTTAAGAAAATTTATTTATTGTCATATTGCTTTGAGAAAGATTTCATTTAAATACTAGAGAAATTTGAATCTGCTTCTGGCATAGTACACACCCAGCTCAATTCATCACTAATGCACTTATAATCATTTTAAGAATTAGTTCTATAGATGAAATATACACTTTCTTTAAAATAATCAGGAGAAAACACTGGAGACAAAATCATTATGGAGACCTAAACTTGTTCTAAATACTATTTTCTTAGATGTGAAAGTACACACTAGTTTTACCAAGAGGATACTGAAAAATAAAAAATTGGCAAAGTAATGCATAATATTAACATAAGATAAAACACATGTTAAGAAAAAGCAATGGTAAATATAAATAAAACATATAGGAGTTTTATAATATCAGCCCATTAAACTAATAAAATTCTAGATCAGGACTTAATAAATCACATATAGCCCAGCACTTACGAAGGAGAAAAATTATTTACTTAAAATGTAAGGCTGGGTGTTTATAGAAATCTTTGCCAAATATGCATTCTCCAGGAAACACATAATAATAATTTCTTTGGCTCTGTTATTATTTTATTTTTAGGTCAACAGAATTTTTCCATGATATCATTAACAGCAACATGAAAAAAAAAGATTATTGTTGACTTGAAGCCTGGTGAGTGTATCTAACTTAAGTCAGTTCTATATGATAACAGTTTAGGTTATTATTTTACAGGGAAGTCTCTTTTTACCAAAATAGAATGTAGTTTTATGAACATTTGAACCTAGTTCTTATTTTTACCAGTAAATAACCACTTGTGCTCTAATTCTAAGGGCATAATTTAACTGAAGAAGTTCTTAACTGAGTTAAACAATAAACAAAACAAATTTGGGTTTATCAATAGACTGTTTTAATCAAATTCTAATCCTGAAAAACCATACTTAAAAAAAAAATTAGCATTTAGTCATTTTGGAATTACCAAAACTATTTCTTTAAAATTCTCAGTTGTATATGCAAAGGTGTTTCACTCCACCACTCATTTTTTTGGTATTGCTTAATTGTAGACACAGGTGTATAACTTTGTGATAAATATTGTTGGAAGCAAGATTGCAGATATTTCACTTCAGACTACTTTTTATATTTCTTTTTCTTTCTCTAACTTTAGAAATTCTTTGTCCTCAGACTGTGAATCATAGTTTCTTCATTTTGTCAGATGAACTTCCAAAGGCTACCTTTTTTACTTCTCACTTAGAGGTATGAGAATTTTAATTTCTATTCCTTCATCTAACCTTCCATCTTCCAAAGTTACTGTGAGATACTCTGTTTTTTGTCTCCTTTTAACCTTTAGTCTCCTTTTTTCTTCATGTTTAAGCCTTATATGTTCCTTTACTTGTCAGTGTTTTGGGTGGAAGAATTATTAAACTCAAGGGGTTGACGCTCTAGAACCAGAAGCTGGGTTAAATGTTTATGTTAAATGTTTCAACGTAGAAGGCCTAGGAGGACATGGGAAGTGCTCTGGGATATTCCAGCAAAGTAACAGTGCATAGTGACAGAGGACAGTGAATCCAGTAATAATCAAAAAAGGGAAGTACAGGCATCTTACTTCTGAGTCCCAGAAATCTTACTCCAGTTACTGGGACAGCAAGTACCACTTCTTAATGGACTGGAAAACCTGGGAGCTTTGTAAAACAAGATTTCTTTGTGATCTATTTATTCTATGCAAAATACATCTTGTATATAATTCTGTCACTAAATATTTTCTTTAATTGTCGATGGTTTTATGTCACTGGAATTCCATAATTCAGTGAATCTGTAAATGTTTGGCTTAGAATACTAATCAACATATAAACAACCACTTATACATGATTATCAAAGAGCATTTGAACATAACACTTCAGGGAATATACAGTCTAGTAGGAATAGATAAGTCAGAAATAAAACATTGTTTTCATATATTTATATTACACTTCTTTTCCAATGTCACCCAAATGAACCACTTGGGCCAGAGAACCTTCCCCTGATTCAGTAACGTGGCTGAGCACAGGGCCGCTACAGGTCTATACAAAGCCTTTGCTGGAATTTAAAAAGCTGCCCTTTCCACCACATGGATGAAGCCCCACTTTGAGGCCCATAGTTTGGTAAAGGGAGTGTGGGTGGATCCAAGCCTCTTCTCTCTCCAGAGCAGGTGTCTTTACAGAGGGGACAATGTGCATAATTGTACGTAAGGGGAAGCTCTGCTGAACTGTTCTCCTTTCCCCTCTAGCACTCAGACATGCCCGAGATCTTAAAGCTAAACAAACCCTTCCTGGAGGCCACGTCTCTTCAACACCACACACGGGTCCAAAAGTGTCTGAATCCCTGCAGCAGACCCAGCCAGTGCTAAAGCTGGAACCCCCTAAAGGGCGAACAACAGAATACAGGAACACAGTATCTGAATCCCTGCAGCAGACCCAGCCAGTGCTAAAGCTGGAACCCCCTAAAGGGCGAACAACAGAATACAGGAACACAGTAACAAAAATGAAAAGGAGGAGGATTGCAGGGAATATGCTGACACACTGAAGCAAGCATGGATAAGATTAACTGGGGAAACTTATGAAGTCTAAATTGAAATTTAAAAAGAGGAAGGAATGCAATCTGATGGAATGTGTGTTTCCTGTACATGCAAAAGAGCTTAGGAAATATTTCCTGAGTGACAGAGTGCAAGAAGCTGAAGGAAGATCAGATTAACTGGAACAGAAAGTTTTTGCATACATGCGTTTTTCTAATCTCCAAAGTTCCATTTTAGAGAAAAAGGAAATTGAGTATCAGAGAGTTTAATTACCCATGCCCAAGGCCACGCAGCTAGTAAGACCCTGAACTCAAGCACATATCTGTTTGTCTTCAGAGCCCAGAATTATTTTAATATAGTCTGTCACCTCTCAGGAGCTGTGGGAATTCCCTAAACTCTAGTGTATCTGAAAATTACTGTAGCTTTGATGTGCTTCTCATGTCAATGGGTATCGCATACAAAGAATGTTCTGCCTTTGCCAAATAATTCCATCGAAGTTATAAAAGAAAATGTGGTAACTTGTAAATAGACATGAATTTTAATTACAGAAATCACTAATGTACACACATAGTACTAATAGATCAAGTGAGGGGACAATGAGATATAAAAACTATTGTTTAGGGTGGTAAGTAGGGGAGAAGTCAAGGCCCAGTAGAAGACAGAGATGACTAATAATACTGACAGAAAAGTCACATGAAGGAAGGAAGTTCTTCACCATCCTCCTACTTAGAAGATAAATTAGAGAGCCATTGGATAATCTGCATCCTGGACGTGATCACAGAGATGAAGAATCTTAAAACTTGATCGCAGTCCCATGTACACAGGGCCAGTTATGCACAATCAGTCAATATGACAGTTTTATTAGCCTCAATTTCTTCAGTGTTAATCATCTTCAGTCAGACATATTTTTCTAGAAAGACTCATTTTCATCACACTATTATTTCAAGGCCTCAATGAATTGTTACTACCAACAGAATAAAGCCCAACATTTAAGACCATCCAGAATCAAGCTGCACACACAAATATATCCTTCCAAAACTCTCCCTTTTGTTTAAACTAGATTGACTTAACATCCTAATTTTGTTCCTTCCTGTAGATACCTTTAAAATATGTCCCTTGGTCCTCCTTGCAGGGCAGAGCCTTACAGAAAATGAAGTCCACCAGCCCAGTGTGCCCATAAGCTCTTATCCCCAACCTGCAAATATATTTAGATCTGCACTTATAACCTCCTCCTTCCAATCACAAGGAAATGGTCAGTCTTAGTTACACTTCTCCAATGTCCTTGCACCCACATTCTGAATCTCAGTTCCTCCTTATTTGTCAGGACCCTGAAGCTCTACTGATTTTCCTTCTTTGTCCTATGTCTTCAACCGCTGTCCGTGGCACCTCAGATGTGTCACATTGTAAACTGTATGAACGCTGCTTCTAGAGTTGTGCAGGCCAGAATGGTCCAAAGGCACCAGTCCTGCCTCTCTGCCTCTGTGACACCATTCTGTCCACAGCTTTCATCAGGAAGGAAGGAAGGGAAAGAAAGAAAAGAGAAAGTACAAGGAGCCTGGACAATCAGCCCTGCATTTGTCCAGGTCTCTATTTCCTCTTGTTTTCTTCCTTCTTGTTTCTGCCCTTCTTGTTCCACCAAAACCACTCTCACCGCGGTTATTGATGGACCTTCTTGTTGACAAATCAAATGGATTTTTTTCAGTCCTTTGCTCTCTTAATCTCTTTCCAGCTCTTAACATCCCATTGGCCACTCTTTTTGCTTTTAATAACTCATTCCGTGGCTTCTGCGATACCCTATTGCCACGCCTTCTGATCTGATACCTTCGGATGTTCCTCTTGCAGGCCCCTTTTCTCAGCCTACCTCTTAAGCGTTTGAGCTCCCCAGCCATCTGTCCTGGGCCATCTGCTCTTCTCAGCTAATACTCTTTTCCCGGACCATCTCATCTCTCTATTGGCTTCTCATGGGTTTTGTAAAAACTGTGGCCGTTACCTTGAGGTCAGATCTCCCACCTGAACTTGCTTCCTGTCTTCCTACCACCCTCCCTATCCAATATATCAACAACCTCTGACAGCTTCTCCCCCGGAACACCTGGTCTGTCCGTTTCCCTCCTTCTGCCACCTTCCCGATCTAAGCCCGCAACACCCCTCCCGGGGACTCGGGCAGTCGCCTCTAACTGATCTCCCTAACTCCCCCCTTGCCCACACTGTAATCCATTCTGCTCACAAAACTGCTTTCAACCTTAATATGTCTGCTCCCTATTTCAAAACCGTCAATGATTTGCAACTCCTTACTATGAAACTGATGGTGTGAGGCCTAATATGCTCGGCCTCTGCCTATCCTCACATCCCCCACCACTTTCTTGCTGCAGTGAATATGTTTTAACATGATGATCGGTTCAGTCTAGCCTGTTCCCTCAACTCTCTCCCTGCCATACTCTAGATTCATGTGGTGATGACATTCCTTTCATTTCCCCAGCTACAGGCATGACCCAAGACTTCCTGACCTTGGCCCAAGCTTCCCTCCCCCCTTCACTCGGACGCTCCCCCATCCTGTAGGTTCTGGCTCAGCTATTACTCTCCCGGGATGCCCTCTTCAACCACCCCCAGTCAGGCTGCATTCTCCTCCGGTGTGTGCTCAGAGGCTCCTGGACGTCCTCACCAAATCCCCTGTCCCATGAAATTTAGCTGGTTTTAGTAGGGGCAGGAAGAGGAAAGACAGGATCTATGTAGGTCACTGGCAGTCAGAACTTGGCTTATAACAAGTGTTCAACAGATGTTTCAAATGAATCAATAAAAACTGATATAAAAACTCACTGTTTATCCTTAATAATTCATTGTCCATAAGTGTGCATATATGTTTGGCAGACTGTATCCTGCTCTTATTAAAAAGCATGGATTTAATCATTCTTAACAAATTTTTTAGTTTTCCTAAAGTCCTGGGCTAAGTAAACTCTACCTGAATTATAATAAAGTCAAAGTTACACTGCCCAGAATGGGGAAAACATGGAAAGCAATGCTCTTCTCAGGATCCACCCTTAGGAGGCTTGTTTTTTATTTGGCTGATTACAAAGAAGCAAATTCTTGTTCAATGTATTGAGAGGGCTTTCTAAAAATAAGAATTATTCTAAAATGGGAGGCTTGGGAATTGGTGAACTCATTGTTGGGGGCCCCTAATTAGACTTTTTTCAGAGAGCTGCATTTTCTTAAATGTCATTACGAGGTGAGTTATCTTATTCTCCCTCTTCCCCATTCCCACCGTGATTGCACTCCATTAACTTCAAAAGCTCCTCCTTATTTTTGCATGATTTATAACTTTGTGTTCTTTAGAAATTAACTCTAACCTATAATTATTTGAAATGACTAAATCATACTTGGTACATGCTATATTTCTTTAGAAAAATGAACAGGCGGAATTGCTGGATTTGTAAGACGTGCAGAGATGAATCCAAGAGGCCCCCTTCAAAGTGAGTGGCATCTGAATTCTGCGGCCATCGCGAGGCACACTTGTCACAGGATATTTATTCAACTGCAATCTTAATATATTTTGCTCAGAGAGTAAAATTTTCATTTACACATGACTCATTCCAACAGAAGGGCGATCATGTATCACACTAAGGTTTCCTCTTCATTATTCATGGTTTATACTTGAGAATTCAGCAAGTTTAATGTGTTTAAAGGGCCTATTATGAAGAAATGCTTGGAATTTTATTATAAAGCTTTATATAGTTTATGTTAAAATGAGATGCTTTGATTCAAAATATTTTCATAGCTCAAACTGCCCGCCCACACACAGTGCCAGCAACCTTCATCCCTGTTTGGAAGAGGAGAGACGGGAGTGGCATCTGAATGCCTACCAAGCTCCCAAGTCTCTTCACCACTTCGCTGTAACTAAAAAAGGGGCCATTTGGATGGGGACGCCGACTGTATTAAAATGGAAAGTGTAATGCCCGAGAAAGGTAGCAAACCATTTGAGTGAAATTGCTTACCTCGAAGAATCCGAGGTCGAGGACTCCTGTCAGTCTGACCAGAATGCCTAACATAATTCGTGTGGAGATCTCAGTTTTGGCCACATGTCCCTGCTACGGCCTGAGCTCCTGGCTGGCATGCTCCTACCCTGAAGCATCAAAATGTCCAAACACACTCCCAGGCCTGTGTGTGTCTGTGTGTGCGTGTGTGTGTGTGTGTGTGTGTGTGGAAACAAAATTCACATTCATGGAAAGGCAGCAGGTGACAGTTGTTTGATAGGTGCTTTACATTCACCATCTCATTTAATTTTCATGAACTTGTAAGATAGATGTTACTGTCACCATTTTATGCATAACAAAACCAGAGCTCACAGATTTTAAGTAACCAAAATTTCTTAAGTATAGAACTGGTATTAGAAATGGCACTTGCCATTTCTCTGGATTGAAGAGGTTATTTTACATTACCGGTTTTAAAGTTCTAATAAGAGAAAAGAGCAATGAGTCAGACACATTTCATGGAAATGTTTTTGAAAGCTATGGTAACAGCAGTGTAACTGTTAAGCCTCAGTATTGATGCAAATAGTCCACCTAAAACTGGCAAGACCCACCTGGCTTTGCAGAAAACAAAAGATATTTGACCTTTTTGGGACTCCCAACAGATTTCCATGTTCTAGGCTATTTTTTGACTTCTTTAATTAGTCTGTCTTCATTGTGTTAAGTAGCTGCTAAAGCTTTTGGCTGTTTCCTCAACACCAATGACAGAGCTAACTAACCAGGTGCAGCCAATGGACATTGTTTGCTTGCATCTATAGCTGTCTGATTACATACAGTTTTTCAAAACAGGAAAACTAGGAATGTATCATAAGCTGAATGGTAATGAACACACTGAGTATTTTAAAGGAAGGAAATAAAACGATTTTTATCTAAGCATACACGATCAGTTGCCAATTCATCTCACAAAGCTGCCAAAATGAACAGAAAAATGAATCTTCAAAGCCAGTACCTTTTAGTTATTTTCAAAATGGTAAACAACTTTTTTATACTATTTAGGTTAAATGTAACTTTGCATACTGTTCACAGTAGTAAAAATTAAAGCCTTCAACATGCAAAAAAATTATAGCAAATAATAGAATACATCCATGTATAATAGATATAGAGGTACTAGCTTTATTACATGAATGCATGCAAATAGGTTTTGTGGATAAACTCTAAAATCCTAAGATTTTAAATTCATATCAATGGGCTAACACACTGCTGGTGGGTGCAGCAGACATACATAAATTTTTAAAAGCAATTTGATGGTTTGTACCAAGAACCTTAAAAATGTTCATTTTTAACCTGGTTTGATTCTACTTCTGATCATCTCCTATAGAATTGCCCTTTGTGAGAAAAACAGCAGGTTTTTATGCTTAAAAAAATGAGAAATATTTACAATGTCTATTCAGAATAATTATGTAAACTATGGAATGTCCCCTTGTAGAATACACCAAAGTGACTATTAATGATTATAAACTTATAATTCTAAATTATAACACTATAAATGGTTATTAAGACAATTGTGATGACATATAACAAGCTTATTAAAAGGATGATATGTATAATGTATACACATATTTATATACACACACACATAAAGTGTGCATACACACAGACACCTGCAGACACTTGGTTAAAAACACACAAATAAGCACATAACAAAAACATTAAAAAGAAAAAAATCAAAATATTAATAGTGATAATTTGGAAATAAAGAGTTAAGAAGGCTATGGATCTTTATCTTTTTAAAATTTGCTTTATCACTTTTTCAAGTTTATACCCTTTTTATAATTTTTAAAATTTTAATAATTTAGAAAAGAATAATAAAATATAAAAGATCGCAGGGAAATAAACTTTCATCCAAACACAAATACAGTCCAATCATCCCTTCACCAACATGGGTTTGAATTGCACAGGTCCATTTATGTGCAATTTTTTTCAATACATTTTCTGGAGGTTTGTGACAATTTAAAAAACATTTTCTCTAGCTTACTTTATTTAAGAATACAGCATATAATACATGTAAAAATATGCATTAATAGACTATGTGTTCAGTAAGGCTTCTGGTCAGCAGTGGGCTATTAGTAGTTAAGTTTTGGGGGAGTCAAAAGTTAAATGCAGATTTTCAACTGCATGTCAGATTAGCACCCCTAATCCTCACATTGTTCAAGGGCCAGCTATAACTATATTTTGGCATTATTTTCAAGCTAGTACGATTCTATTTAGTTTCGTGCAGTGAGTACCCTTTGTTTCTTTTCAAAGCCTTACTTTGGAGGAAGCGTCGCAGTGGGCCCAGTCTTTTGAAAAGCTGATGGCTACAAAATGTAAGTATTATGTGTATGTCATCTTTGAATGACAAGTAAGGGTCATCTCTAGGGGAGAAGGGGGCGGGAGGTGGCGAATGCATGTCGCTCTTCTCACAGCCTTGTAAATGGCAACTGCCACAGTTTTAAAAAGAAGATCTGAAAATAGTTTTTCATGTCAACCACTAATATTTTCTTTGGTGTTAATTAAAACAAGATTAGTCACTGTGAATATTTATTCTTCACAAGTGTATGTGTAAAATCCCTTGGAAAATGTGCTTAAATAGTAGCACGTACTGAATTATACTGTCTTGTTACAGCCTTCTAAAGTTAGAATTTTTTTTTAATTAATGACTTGCTGTTCTTAGCGCCTTCAAAAGTTAAGAGTGCATTTGAGTCTCAATTTTCTAAAACTCCTCAAAGTTTGTTACTAATTTAATCAGTGTCTGATTTAAATGGGACTTTATACAAGTCTGTATGTAGTTGTATAAAAGTATCAATATTCAGACGGTATAAATGAAAGTTCAGAACAATGGGTATGAGGACGATAGGTTCACAGGCTCAATGCTAGAAGTATGAAGAAATATGTGCATTCATGTGAGCAGTCAGCTGTGTTTGATGTAGGAAATGGGGAGGTTGTAGAAAATGATAAATACCTAAAGACCAAGGTACAGAAAAAAAATGCAGTGGGTACTGAAAGAAAATTCTCCTGTTTGCTGATTTAATGGAGTTTGTTCCTCTCAAACGCTTGCTAGTATTTGCCTAGAGATCTCTTTTTATTTGCAATTCCCTGTTAGCCTCTCTGGGAATGTTTCATCTGTTTACACCTATTGACCGTGAAAGGGGAATTAGCTGTGCTACCTGACGGCTGGATTAGTGGGGTGTGCCCGCGGTTATTCCGGATAGAGAACTTCCTGTTCCTCCCGGGCATTGCACACTCCTGGGGCACCGCCTGTTCCTCGAGTCAGGGGTCCCTCTTGGTATGACAGCAGCTTTCACTGCCTGGCCCAGGGGACAATGGGGGAGCCGAGGACCCCAGGTACTCTTAATGAAACACCTGCATGCACCATTATCCATCAGTTTCTTCGTGGTGGCCCCCTGCTGCTGGGTCACACCCCCACCAGGCTTGGGCCACTCCCTGGACTCCCTCTCTGGTGAGCCTCTGAGGCCACAGTTTCTTTCTCTGCTGCCAGGTCCCTGCCTGCCCCTTCTCGGGTATTGCTCATAGTTTGTAATCCAGTTTGCCCACATCAATTTTTTATCAATTTTAAGATACTGGAATGGGAGAAAGAAACAAAAATATATGTTCACTTGGCTAATAATTTGGATTTCAGTCCCAAACTCCTGTAACCCATGTTTCCATCATTGCCAGATAATCTCTCACTTGGAATTTCATATTCTTTATTCTCATATGTAAAATGGGACCAAGATCACCTGGGGCAGGTGGCTATTGTGCAGATTACATATAAGACACCTAGTGCAGTGCCCAGTGCAGATTTGGCCTACAGTAATTAGTCGTCATTTTTATTAGTAATAGAGCATATATCTCTGAATATCATTCCTTTTCTCCACTGCTTACCAAAAAGTCCAAACTCCCTAACTCATTATTTAGGACTCTTTATAACCTAACCCAGTACACTTTCTAAAATTTATCTCCAGCTCTGCCCCTTCACATGACATGCCCTTCGGCCAGTGTGACTATCACTCCGCTTGCCGCATGGGGGACTCTCCTACTCCGCCTTCCAGGCCAAGTCCTCTCTGCCTCCTCTGCCTACCCTGCCCATCGTTGAAAGTAAAATGCAGCTTTCACCTTTTCCATGAAACCTCTTGGAAATACTTTCCTCTTCTTTTTCTATTTTATCATTGTTATTATTTATTCTGCTTCTAATTACAGCTATTTTGTATACTGGGTTTTTTCCACAGATGCTTTCTCACTAGATTGTAAATTCCCTGAAAGCACAGATCATCTTTCATTCACCTTTCAAACCCCTCTCCCAGAGACTAGAAACATGCTTTGTACCTAATGAGCATGCAATAAATGCTCAGTGAGTCAATACAAGACAAATATTAGTAAGAAAAGATCAAAACACCAAGCCACATCATGTAAGAGTTTCTGTGCCAGTCCTGGAGGCCCTCTAAACAAAGTGAATAAAGTTGATTACTTGGTAATGATCTCAACGGGGAGCCTGGCTAGGATTTAGCAATTTGGAGACCTGATTCCAGGAGAATAAGCCAAGTTTACAGAAAAGACGACAGGAAGACAGAATGCTGCTCTTTATAAACATGAACAACATGCTAAGAATCTTACCAGAAACTGAAATTCTGTGAAATTCATGTAAAATTTTAATAATCACCTACTGAAAAGATGACAAAACAAATAATTCTATGGACTATCCAATCAGAAAGATAAAACCAAGAATGCAAACATTAAATGTGCCAGAGAATAAAGTGTGTTTACATTAACCAAGGACACTAGTAAAATCCATCCTTTAGTTAAGATACACAGACAACTTTTTCAACACAGACTAAGAGACTATTTCTGAACACAGTTCAGAAACCCACATGGGAAGGAAAATAGGCTTGGTCACAATATATGAACAGGAACTGGTTTAGGAGATGTTTGCTGGGAAGCAAGTAAGTAATAGTCATCACAGGGCAGTTAAATTCAACTTCCTTGTGGGAAGAGGATCCAAGAAAATCATCAGTTTAAGAAGAGAACCACTGCAAAATTAAGACATTAAGAAATTAAGATTAAGATTAAAAATTAAGACATATAGAAATTAAGAATGCTAATAACCGAGATACAACTGAAGATGCTATTTAATGATACATTGTTTACAAACCAGTTAATTTTTTAAAAGTAGTGTATGCCTATGCTCAATTTCCATTCAATAAATATTGAGCACTTTTTAGGCACCAGGTAATGTGCTTGAACAAAAAATCCCATGTTCCCAGGTGGCATATAAAGTAATAGGAAAAAAAAGAGAGTTTTTTTCAAACACTGAAAATCTGCCAGAAAACAACAGGGTATCCTGTCATTTATGGCACATTGGGGCAAAGTAGAAAATAGTAACTGAAGCAACTTCTAGTAATACACTGAATGGAATTCCAAAAACGAGGCAAACATATTTTTGAAAATAATAGCCTTTGACAAAAATGTTCAGCAAAGGCTATATAAGGGCTAACTGGCAGTGTTTATTTATTTATTTATTTTGCTTCCAGAGTAAAGATGCTTTTATGAAGCTAGAAGCTACACCTTTCTCTGGAATAATCTATTGTTACATCAGACAAGTAGAAGGGAACTCTAGACATAGAAAGAAAAACATATGTACACATTTCTTTGGTGTAAAATTAGCTCTAGGTCCAGTTAGGACAGCCTCACAGTTGAGCATTTAGACTGTATCATATCAAAGTATAGTAAAATGTGTGTTTAGGAAGTGTTAGATGAAAAGAATGAGAATCAAAGGGCTGTATAGGTTTCCTAAGGAACTGGTAAGAACAAAAAACTGCTTTGAATTTTAGCTGACACTTTGTGAGGTGTGATCTCTGACCAGGCAAGGATTCATTGAGTTCTTAATGTATTTGATGTAGGGAAATATGGGAAATCCATCCTATGGGAGAGTGGAAGAGAGTGTGTCTAAAAGGCAGTGTGAGTGCTTTCCTGAAGGTATTCATAATTAAGGAGAGATAAAATATAGTGCACCATTAGCAGCCGGAAAACAACTACAAAGAAGGGAGACTAGAAGTAGCAGGGCACCTAGCACAAACCTAGTGTGTACGTGCCAAGGGGGAAGGAAGATAGGTGGGGGGAAAAGAGGGATGGCAGGCCTCCTGGGGAAAAAGTCTTCCAAGAGGCAAAACTTGATTCAGATTGTTGTAAAATGTTAAGGATGGATGTCTGACTGACAGAACTTTGAAGATAGGACACTGTTTTAGAAGTAAGTGAAGCTAAAATAAATGAGTGCTTCCTTCATTGAAGAAATGTAGTGTGTAGGATTTCTTAGGCTTAGACGTGAAAACTCGTCTCAGTAAAAAACCTCCACAATGAATTAAGCTGACAGTACCATGCAAAATTTCCAGATCTGCAAATGATAGTTTTCCAAGTTTCCAAACATCCACGTTCGTAGGAAAGAATTAAATAATTTGAAAATGGATAAAAAGCCTTAGTGAGTTTTTTAAATGGATCAGAAAAAGGCTTTCTGAACTCTAGTCATCCCTCATAAAAATACCTGACAATTACCAAACATTTTTCCTTGGATGATGCTGATCCAAAATATGGCACTGCACCTAGAAATATCACCAGAATATTAGGCATCACCAAGATGTAAAATGGCAAGAAAATGCTGTGTTTATCTCTAATAGCTAAATCTAATAAAACTAGAAAAGATAAATAAATATACATTTGAAATGACAACGGGAACAACAATCACACAAAACCTGAGGGCTCTTCAAACTGCAAAAGTCAAGACTGAAAAGTAATGAAAATCAAAATTTTGACTAACTCAAATTTTATTTTTAATTTTGACTAAAATGTTAGAAAATAGTGCTAGAAATAAATGCTGAAGGCTCATACAAGTATTTATTGGCCAAAATTCAAAAGATAAGGCTGGAGGTTGCCCATTGATATTCAGGTCAAGTATGTTTAATATAAATAAAAAGAAGTTCGGCAAAACTGCAACTGATGCCTCTGCATGATCCATTCCATACTTCCGGGTGTCTGGCCGACCTTCCAAGCCCTGTGATGGGAATGAAAGAGGCGCACAAGGTCACCACTCTCAGCTCATGTGCTCCCTCTAGAGGGAGGAGACAGACAGACAAGCAAGCAAATCAATGAATTCCTTCATCCCAGAAAGTGATAACTGGTTTGAAGAAAATTAAAGCAGGCAATATGACCAAAAGGCAAAAAAAGAAGAGGCAGGTGTTCCAGGGCATTTCAATTGGGTGATTAAAGAAGAACTGTCAGAGGGGTAAAATCTGAACTAAGAACTGGATGATGAGAAGCAGCCAGCCAGGTTGGAGTCTGGGCGCAGCAGCCCAAGCAGAGGAAAACCATGTTTAAAAGACCCTAAGATATGAGTGAGGTTCAGATAACCGTGAAGTTCATCATGACAGGTGCATAGGGCCATACAGGCCATGTGAACAACCTAAACTGCAGGAAAACAAGAGTCAATATGCCTTTAAAAGTACTCTCTGGTTCTGTTGTGGAGAAAAGCAGAGAGACCACTTGAAGGCTTTTGCAATAAACCAGGTAAGACTGGAGCTCAGTGTGAGACAAAGCCAGGAGTAATCAGCACATAGACGCTAATCAAAGCCAGGGAGCTATGAGGTCACTTGGAAGGAGACTTCAGAGAGAGGAGAGCAGAGATCCTGAGACAGAGCTTAGGCACATTTTAATATTTCCAAATCCAGAGAAGAGGAGGAGTCTGTAAAGGAGATGGAAAAGGAGCATCGGGTGAGTTAAGGATTATCCAAACAGTAGATTACAATGAAAACAAAGAAGAGAGCATTTCAGAAAGGGAGAAGTGGACTATGTCAAAGGCTGCTGAGAAGTCAGGTAAGATGAGGACAGAACAGCGGCCACTGGATCCGGCAGTATGGACATCCGCGGTGCCTCGGCAAGAGCCGTTTCATGGGCATGGTAGAGACTGATAGGGTAAGAGGAAGGAAGGCAGATAATATGGGAAATTCTTTACTTAGGTTTTCTTTGAAGTTCAGAAGAGAAAAGAGTAAAGACTGGAAAGAGGCATGAGGTCAATACTGAGAGTGTAGAATCACCGTTGTTACTGGTTCTGTTTGGGAAATGCAGCAGTGTGTTCCCAGACGACGGCAACTGTTAGGAAGGAAGAAACTAATGACAAGGAAGAGAGTGGGGTTGATTGTAGGAGCAACAGAGAAATGCAAAGCAACAGAGAAAGCAAAAACAGGTGAGAGCCATAAAAGAATTGTTTGGCCAGCCCAGAAAGGAACAGGGACGCTTCCCCCTGAGGGGAGAACTTCGAAAGGGCAGGTATCAGCAGAGGAAGGTTGCCTGATTTGGTGGATGGAGGATGAGGGGCTCTCCATCTGATAAAGTCTGTGTTCTCAGCAGCCTGATGCAAGGTCATCAGCAGAGAGCTGAGGATGAGTCCAGGGGAGGATCGGAGAATGGCGTGGTAATGTTGAGTGCCCATGAAAAATTTGCAGTGATGATTTCCAGTGAGAAAGCACAGTTACGTATTTTTCTACAATCTGTTCAGTTTGCTCCAGCACAGACGCAGAGGAGACATATAGTTACGCCATTCTCAATAGGCAAGCGCTCTGAATCAGAGCCTGCATCACACCTCATTCTGGTCCAAATCATCTTTGAATGTACTGTCTACTTTTCTCCTTTTCTCAGTCATCACGATCCCTGCAGACAGCCTTGGAAATGCCAGGCTGAGCAGTGTGGGATCGTCCCTCTGCATCCTCCTCCTCTGCATGGCACAGCAGACAGTGGATATCACTGATGGTGCTGTTTTTCCCTCATGCGTATCCTGAGCCTAGAGGCAGAGCCCTTCTCTCAGCTCTCATCTGGGAGAGGTTCTGCACTGCTCGCTGGGGATTGGCAGCTTCCTACGTGTGCATTTATTTTACTCTCTGCTCACCACAGCTGTTGCCATGGCACCATTTGCCAGCCCTCTCATTACCCACCTGCATGCCTCAGCTCTTCCCACTTAGCACATTTTGCCTTCTTTAAGTTCTCATTCACATCTTCACCTTTCAGGGAAAGAACAGCCAAATCTGCTCCCTCTGTTCAGTTAGTACATTTTTTGCTTCCCTCCCAGAAAACCAAAAAGCAATAATATGCCACATATAATCATCTGGTCTTTGGTGCTTCCTAGCTGCTGAATAATCAGTCTGCTTCTTTCCAAAACCTATGGAGAGTCACTTTCAAATGCAGAAGCGTGAGCAATCCAAAAGCCTGGACTGGCAAGCATTTGTTTATTCAGTATCTACTATATGTCAGGCGGTTCCTGGGCACTGGGCAAATGAAGACAAACTGCTGTCCTGATCCTTAAAGGGCCTGCAGGTGAATGGGAGAGTAACAGAAGTGGGCCAGTAAATAGAATGGACTGTGATACAGGGTGAGATAAAACTTTAATTACATACATGTGCTCTGGGTGCTTTTTGTCAACTGACAGGAAGCATTTATCTAGTCTCGGGTGAGGGTAAGTGGGTGGTTCAGAGAAATTTTTCCAGAACCTGGGATACCAAGCTGAGTCTTAGATCAGGGTATAAAGCCCACAACACAGAAGGAACTCCACCTAACAGCATGGAGTGACATACTGTTTGGCCAGGAATACCAAGGCTTGAACAAAGACAATGTTCAGGGGTAACAGGGGAAGGGAATGGAAATATAAGCCATTATAAACCTAATGGGCCCTGCAACCATTGCCAAGAGGTCTGGCTTTTACCACTAGGGCAATGGGAAAGGGGTAAAGGTTATAAATAAAAGACCATGCACAGTTTTTTGTTTTAGAGATTTTTTTTTCATCCAATAAAAGTACAGAAAAGTTTGAAAGCAGGGCCAGATAGATGAACTGATGTTTTTTCCCGTTAAATGGTTTACAAATACTCCTCAGAAAATCATAAGCAAAAATAATGTCTAAGAAGAGAACAGAAATAATGCAAAAAATGTGTCTTTAATATGTAAAAAGATCTGAAAATTCAAGAAAACACTAACAGTGCAAAAGAAAAATGGACAGAAGATTTGAAATTCACAGAATGAAAAGAAATAGCAATAAAGAACAATTTTAAGCATTAATATTTTTAAGATGCACATTTCAACAATTACAAGTTACTGGTTTTACTTCATTAGATTGGAAAGAATGGAGTGAGTAGACACTTTGACATGGCAGTTAGTAATGAAATAATAAAATTTTTCCAAAAGCAATTTTATAATATCTTGGTACATTTTGGAGGTACCAAGAGCCTTCAAAAATATTACATTGTCAATCTAGGAATTCTGAGAAAAGAGTTTCAGATGCAAAGATTTATAAACCAAAATGTTCAATGTAGGATAATTTATAACATGAAAAGGGGAAACAATCTAAGTATTCAATAATAATGGAGGTCTAACTATAATATAATGTAATTATTTAGCCCTTGAAAGTTAAAAGGAGAAATTATTTATTACATGATGATAAGTATGAAATACAAATTTAGTTTCATAGTATAATGCCAATGTGTTTGTGTATATGAGCTAATACTAGTTAGATAGAAACTTAAACATGGTCAAACAAAGGACTGGAAAAATAAAAGAAAATATATCAAATTGTTAACAATGGTTATTGTCTTTATTAGAAGTTTTCTATATTTAAAAACAACTCATTGAATTTTAAGCTACTTTTATAATAACACAGCAAGAAGAAGTTAAGAGAAAAGCCAGAAATGATACATATCATAGAAGCCAAACCAGAGAATTTCAAGAAAACCGAAGATATACACTAAAACTTCACACAGAGGATGGTGGAATTATGGAAGTAATTATCCCCAATGATATAGGTTGAAAATAAAATGGATTTTAAATTGTTTTAGACACACCTCTTCTGATGGAAGACTGCAACATAGCTCACCTGTAGGATTTAATGGTGTGAGTCTTGCCGCCTTGCAGAAAGCAGTCCTGGAAAGATGCACCACTGTTTTGACTCATCCAAGAGGAATGTCACATTTCCCTCCTGCATCAAGAGACCAGCATGTAAATGCTTCCTTAAAGGGATCTGTCTCTATCTGAGTTTTCTCTTTTTAATAAAATGCCTTTCTATCTCTTTTTTGGTATCACCGCTGACAGAGCCAGCAGAAGCCAAGGAGTCAAGGAGACTGGCTTTTTAGTGCTAGAAATTCAATCTAATCTCTTATGTAAAGAGCTAAGAAAATATGGTTTTACTCACCATTGTCATTCCATCTGATTACCATTTCTTGTAAGAGTTAATAATACTGCCAGGATATTGTTCATCAAAATCCTATGCTTGGTCACGTATGAAATGTGCCTATACACGGGTTTCTATTACTATAAATTAAAAATTATGCTGCTATTTCAACATTTATTGATTCAGTTTTTCAAATATTCCAAGGGCTTTCCTGGTCACCAAAAGAGGTTTAATGTTCATCTCAGAGAGTTCATTTTGAATCTTGACAATACTGTTCCTCCCAAATATTCTTATTAATGTGTTAGACTTTTGAGAGCTCATGCCTTCCTCTGCAAACACTAGCCCCTGCAAAATAGTGCCTCAGTTGGCAAAGCTCCACCCCAGTCTGCCCTTATCTAGCCACTCCAGAAAGGCAGTCTAAGATCAAAGCTGAGGATAACCACGTCTACCATCAAGTGTAGTTGATGTCTGTGCTGCACATTCACACTGTCCCAATCCAGATTTTGAGATAGTTTTGACATCCCATTTGAATTCCATTCTTTGCCTGGTCCTTCATTTCTGGTTTGAGC